TTATTTATTTCATTTACTCTATTCACCTGTGGGGTCTTGCCTTAAATGAAAACAAAGAATATTATTTCACAAGTGTACAATGTTGCTTCTAGGCAATTCCTCAAAACATGCAAATAATTCATATTTAATGAATTTTAAATTTAATAGAAGTTTTTTCACTAACACATTTTGTTGATAGGTGAAAGATGATTAGAAATAGTCCTGTGAAATGAACTCTTGGTTTCCCAGCATCAAATGTGAGGCTGTCAAGTGCTGGAGCTCATTTCACACTAGAGTGCCTCCAGTGGGATGAGGTTTGTTTCACAGCAAGTCAGAGGTGATGAAACAAATCCTACAAGTCAGCTTGTGTGTGTGTGTGTGTGTGTGTGTGTGTGTGTGTGTGTGCGTGCAGCGAGAAGGTTTTAAAAAGCTTTCTGCTGGTTTCTGAGGTTTTTATTCCTCGTGGCTCTCGAATGCGTTCACAGGTTTCTCCACCATCTGGAGGATCGCTGTTAGAAATCTCACTCTGCGTGTTAATGAAAGTCTGAGATTGGTGTAATTCTCATTAGTTCAGGTTCTTGCGCGAGACACTCGGCTCATAATTGCTGGAGGTTAATTGGTTTGGGTTACAGCATTCATGTATAGCGTCTCCCTCGAGAACTCGGCCACGTCACGCAGTTTTATATAAGTTTTTAGAGCATACTGACGAAAGATGATGTGCAGCAGCTAATGGACCGTTTTCACATTTCCGTGTTTCTCAGCAGCAGAAGTCCTCATAGTTGGGTTAACTTCAGGAGCAGTGAATGGGAGAGCACCACAAATAGGAAAAGAAAAACTCCACAATAGTGGTTTCATGACTTTCAATAAAAGGAAAAAAATGAGAGACTGATAACGGCAGTCAGAAGAGAGAACGATGTCAAATTTACCATCCCTCCCATAGACGCCGCATTAGAAACACTCTCGTGTTAGCCTTAACTAGTGTTTTTGTAATTTGATGCAAAGGTGATACAATACAAAGAATAGTTATAAATGTACATGGTTCAAAGACGGTAAGATGTCGCATCTAAAGAAATTTACAAAAGTGATTTTATGTCCATAGAAAGCACATTAAATGTAAGTAAAGTGTCTACTTTTGAGGTTTCAAATACGTTTTTGAAGAATAAAATGTCAAAATTTGGTTGAAATAATGTTACATTGTCATTCAGTGTAACACTTATATTTATGTAAAAATTCAAACATGCTTATTCTGACGTGTACATATTAAAATATATAAAAGAATAAGGGAGCATATTAAATTTTATTGGTTTTTAAATGAGTAAAAAAATATTACTGACAAATGGGTGAAACCTAGGATAGTGGCAAATTAAAAAAATTTAAAATTACAACTAATTAGTATTTGGGGTGAAAGTAGTTAGTCTTTTAATATGTCATAAATAGATTTTTGTTGTAAATATGCCTGACGAGATTGTTACACTGAATGACATTTGACTGGGTATCTTCTGTAAATCAGGGGGAAATGTATCATAATTATTTTTTGCTCGGAAAAACAAAAATACAATTACATGAAACAGAAAACTTTTTAATAAATGTTTTTGTTTTTTTTGGAAAAACAACAACATTTTAAAACAGTATTGTTTTTATGCTTAAACCCTTTTTCGTCTTTGACCCACATATATTTAAATTATATAAAGCTTTCGAGGATTTATGATGCTGATGACTGTTAAACGCGTCCTCACAATCTTGAGAAAAGGGTCCATAGCTGTGTGTTTGTAGATAAATCGTAAAAAGCACGAAAGCTTGTGTGAGACATTTACATGTTTAATGATGCACTTCAGAAGCAACCGAATCAGATGTTTCTTTTCTCTATTAGTGCTTTTTTCCTAAATATGTTGATGTCGCAACCACATGTGTTCCAGCTTGCAGGCTCTCGGCCGGCGCTCCAGGTCGCTGTGTCTGATGAAGATGTCTGATTCTGTCGGAGAGGACGAACGCCAGCTCAACACGCCACAGAGCCGCATGCACGAGGAGAACTGCAGCGACGACACGACTGAGACGCAGGTAACGGAACTCTCTTCTTTTTCCAGTTCAGTTTGAAGCCTAAAGAACAACAACTCGGAGGCTTGTGGGAGAGAAAGGGATTTCAGTTGATTCAGTGATTCAGTGACTCATTCATGAAGAGTCATTTCAGCTTTGTTTCCGAATGAATCAGCAGTTTGAACGAATTGGTTGAATGAATGAATCAAAAACTCGCTCATTAAGACGGTGGCTCGCTGCCACCTACTGCCACTTTTAGTTTTATATTTCTTCCCATAAAAAAATAATTTCATATTTCAATATTCAAATTTTACAAAATAAAAAACATTAATTCTCATTTAACAAAATAATGATCTTTTGAGGGGTAATTTCTCAGCCCAAATTGATGATAATTAGATGAATTAATCAGCACATCAATTTAATAGCTTTACAGCTCTACTAATAAATTATTTTAGCACATGCAGCTGTTCAGTGATCGCCTTTAATAAATGCATGAATATTTATGAAAATATATAACAGCTGCAGTTCAGCTGTGTAATTATTGATCGGTTTTTAATTGATCGTGAACCCGCTTCAGGCGGTTTGGAGCGTTGACCTGCAGGCTGTATTGTTGCTATATTGCACACATTGATGGCTGTAGTTCGTTCTGTCCTTCAGATGCGATTGTGCCTTTGTTTGTGTGGAGAGCAAGGGTCAGCGAAACAAATCAGCGCAGCAATGCTTCTGCTTCAGCTCCAGCAATCAATCGTGCGTAGCTGTGTTATGAGGAGCGGCAGACACGAATGCCGAAGGTGAAGCTTTTGAAGGTTGCGCCGCTGCGTCTGGATTGGACAGATCCTCTGTTTCTGATACGGTGACATTTCTCCGTCCAGCCTTTCGCTTGATTTCAGTATTGGCCTGTCCCATCCCTGAGAGAGCCGATTGGCGGGAGCTTTACGGCCATCTGTCTGTTCCTCCGGTGCTGCTGTGCTACAGACTCTTCCAGCATCGGCGGTCGTTGAGGATCCGTGGCCTCGTGCCAGATTCTGCCTCTCGGGGAATACGGGATCTTAGCCAATTAAAGCTGAATAACCATGCGTCATTATTCGCTTATTAACAATCGGCCTGTTGAGGCTGAGAGAACAACTGAGACAAGACACGCCAACAAATAATGTACTGAATCACTGCATATCTATATGTTCTTATATCTATCTATCTATAGATATGTAGATATAGATATAGATACATAAGTTTATATATTTAAATTGTTAAAAAGTTTGTCTGTGTATATATATAATTTTTTTATTTGTAAATAATAAATATAGATATAAACATAATATGCATTATATATATATAATTTCTTAAAATAAATTTTTTTATATTATATGTATATTAATATATTTTAATAATGTAATTTAATTACAAATCTAGTATATATATATATATATATATATATATATATATATACATGAATAAGAAATATTAAAGATATATTTTCCTTT